TGTGCTGTAGCGTTAGTGTGTGTGGTGTAGCGTTAGCTGTGTGTATTGTAGCGTTAGTGTGTGTGCTGTAGCGTTAGTGTGTGTGCTGTAGCGTTAGTGTGTGTGCTGTAGCGTTAGCTGTGTGTACTGTAGCGTTAGCTGTGTACTGTAGCGTTAGTGTGTGTGCTGTAGCGTTAGAGTGTGTGTGTGCTGTAGCGTTAGTGTGTGTGCTGTAGCGTTAGCTGTGTGTATTGTAGCGTTAGTGTGTGTGCTGTAGCGTTAGCTGTGTGTACTGTAGCGTTAGCTGTGTGTATTGTAGCGTTAGTGTGTGTGCTGTAGCGTTAGCTGTGTGTGCTGTAGCGTTAGCTGTGTGTACTGTAGCGTTAGTGTGTGTGCTGTAGCGTTAGCTGTGTGTACTGTAGCGTTAGCTGTGTGTACTGTAGCGCTAGTGTGTGTGTGCTGTAGCGTTAGAGTGTGTGTACTGTAGCGTTAGTGTGTGTGCTGTAGCGTTAGCTGTGTGTACTGTAGCGTTAGCTGTGTGTACTGTAGCGCTAGTGTGTGTGCTGTAGCGTTAGAGTGTGTGTACTGTAGCGTTAGTGTGTGTGCTGTAGCGTTAGCTGTGTGTACTGTAGCGCTAGTGTGTGTGTGCTGTAGCGTTAGAGTGTGTGTGCTGTAGCGTTAGAGTGTGTGTGCTGTAGCGTTAGCTGTGTGTGCTGTAGCGTTAGTGTGTGTGTGTGCTCTAGTGTTAGCTGTGTGTGCTGTAGCGTTAGCTGTGTGTGCTGTAGCGTTAGTGTGTGTGTGTGCTCTAGCGTTAGCTGTGTGTATTGTAGTGTTAGTTGTGTGTATTGTAGCGTTAGAGTGTGTGTGTGCTGTAGCGTTAGCTGTGTGCACTGTAGCGTTAGCTGTGTGTATTGTAGCGTTAGCTGTGTGTGTGTGCTGTAGCGTTAGTTTGTGTTTGCTCTAGCGTTAGCTGTGTGTGCTGTAGCGTTAGTGTGTGTGCTGTAGCGTTAGCTGTGTGTATTGTAGCGTTAGTGTGTGTGTGTGCTGTAGCGTTAGCTGTGTGTATTGTAGCGTTAGCTGTGTGTATTGTAGCGTTAGAGTGTGTGTGTGTGCTGTAGCGTTAGCTGTGTGTGCTGTAGCGTTAGCTGTGTGTGTGTGCTGTAGCGTTAGCTGTGTATGTGTGCTGTAGCGTTAGCTGTGTGTACTGTAGCGTTAGCTGTGTGTGCTGTAGCGTTAGCTGTGTGTGCTGTAGCGTTAGCTGTGTGTGCTGTAGCGTTAGAGTGTGTGTGTGCTGTAGCGTTAGAGTGTGTGTGTGCTGTAGCGTTAGCTGTGTGTACTGTAGCGTTAGTGTGTGTGCTGTAGCGTTAGTGTGTGTACTGTAGCGTTAGCTGTGTGTGCTGTAGCGTTAGTGTGTGTGCTGTAGCGTTAGCTGTGTGTACTGTAGCGTTAGTGTGTGTGTGCTGTAGCGTTAGCTGTGTGTACTGTAGCGTTATTGTGTGTGTACTGTAGCGTTAGCTGTGTGTGTGCTGTAGCGTTAGTGTGTGTACTGTAGCGTTAGCTGTGTGTACTTAGCGTTAGTGTGTGTGCTGTAGCGTTAGTGTGTGTGCTGTAGCATTAGCTGTGTGTACTTAGCGTTAGTGTGTGTGTGCTGTAGCGTTAGCTGTGTGTACTGTAGCGTTAGTGTGTGTGTGCTGTAGCGTTAGCTGTGTGTACTGTAGCGTTAGCTGTGTGTGCTGTAGCGTTAGTGTGTGTGCTGTAGCTTTAGTGTGTGTGCTGTAGCGTTAGTGTGTGTACTGTAGCGTTAGTGTGTGTGTGCTGTAGCGTTAGTGTGTGTGCTGTAGCGTTAGTGTGTGTGTACTGTAGCGTTAGCTGTGTGTACTGTAGCGTTAGCTGTGTGTGCTGTAGCGTTAGCTGTGTGTGCTGTAGCGTTAGTGTGTGTGTGCTGTAGCGTTAGCTGTGTGTATTGTAGCGTTAGAGCGTGTGTGTGCTGTAGCGTTAAAGTGTGTGTGTGCTGTAGTGTTAGAGTGTGTGTGCTGTAGCGTTAGCTGTGTGTATTGTAGCGTTAGAGTGTGTGTGTGCTGTAGCGTTAGAGTGTGTGTGCTGTAGCGTTAGCTGTGTGTGCTGTACACACACACAGTGTGTGTGTGTGCTCTAGCGTTAGCTGTGTGTGCTGTAGCGTTAGCTGTGTGTGCTGTAGCGTTAGTGTGTGTGCTGTAGCGTTAGAGTGTGTGTGTGCTGTAGCGTTAGTGTGTGTGCTGTAGCGTTAGCTGTGTGTACTGTAGCGTTAGCTGTGTGTATTGTAGCGTTAGTGTGTGTGCTGTAGCGTTAGTGTGTGTGCTGTAGCGTTAGCTGTGTGTACTGTAGCGTTAGCTGTGTGTACTGTAGCGTTAGTGTGTGTGCTGTAGCGTTAGCTGTGTGTACTGTAGCGTTAGTGTGTGTGCTGTAGCGTTAGCTGTGTGTACTGTAGCGTTAGTGTGTGTGCTGTAGCGTTAGCTGTGTGTACTGTAGCGTTAGCTGTGTGTATTGTAGCGTTAGTGTGTGTGCTGTAGCGTTAGCTGTGTGTGCTGTAGCGTTAGCTGTGTGTACTGTAGCGTTAGCTGTGTGTACTGTAGCGCTAGTGTGTGTGTGCTGTAGCGTTAGAGTGTGTGTACTGTAGCGTTAGTGTGTGTGCTGTAGCGTTAGCTGTGTGTACTGTAGCGTTAGCTGTGTGTACTGTAGCGCTAGTGTGTGTGTGCTGTAGCGTTAGAGTGTGTGTACTGTAGCGTTAGTGTGTGTGCTGTAGCGTTAGCTGTGTGTACTGTAGCGCTAGTGTGTGTGTGCTGTAGCGTTAGAGTGTGTGTGCTGTAGCGTTAGAGTGTGTGTGCTGTAGCGTTAGAGTGTGTGTGCTGTAGCGTTAGAGTGTGTGTGCTGTAGCGTTAGTGTGTGTGTGTGCTCTAGTGTTAGCTGTGTGTGCTGTAGCGTTAGCTGTGTGTGCTGTAGCGTTAGTGTGTGTGTGTGCTCTAGCGTTAGCTGTGTGTGCTGTAGCGTTAGCTGTGTGTATTGTAGTGTTAGTTGTGTGTATTGTAGCGTTAGAGTGTGTGTGTGCTGTAGCGTTAGCTGTGTGCACTGTAGCGTTAGCTGTGTGTATTGTAGCGTTAGCTGTGTGTGTGTGCTGTAGCGTTAGTGTGTGTGCTGTAGCGTTAGCTGTGTGCATTGTAGCGTTAGTGTGTGTGTGTGCTGTAGCGTTAGCTGTGTGTATTGTAGCATTAGCTGTGTGTATTGTAGCGTTAGAGTGTGTGTGTGCTGTAGCGTTAGCTGTGTGTGCTGTAGCGTTAGAGTGTGTGTGTGCTGTAGCGTTAGTGTGTGTGCTGTAGCGTTAGCTGTGTGTATTGTAGCGTTAGAGTGTGTGTGTGTGCTGTAGCGTTAGCTGTGTGTGCTGTAGCGTTAGCTGTGTGTGTGCTGTAGCGTTAGCTGTGTGTGTGTGCTGTAGCGTTAGCTGTGTGTGTGTGCTGTAGCGTTAGCTGTGTGTACTGTAGCGTTAGAGTGTGTGTGTGCTGTAGTGTTAGTGTGTGTGCTGTAGCGTTAGCTGTGTGTGCTGTAGCGTTAGAGTGTGTGTGTGCTGTAGCGTTAGCTGTGTGTACTGTAGCGTTAGTGTGTGTGCTGTAGCGTTAGTGTGTGTACTGTAGCGTTAGCTGTGTGTGCTGTAGCGTTAGAGTGTGTGTGTGCTGTAGCGTTAGCTGTGTGTGCTGTAGCGTTAGAGTGTGTGTGTGCTGTAGCGTTAGAGTGTGTGTGTGCTGTAGTGTTAGTGTGTGTGCTGTAGCGTTAGCTGTGTGTGCTGTAGCGTTAGAGTGTGTGCTGTAGCGTTAGAGTGTGTGTGTGCTGTAGCGTTAGCTGTGTGTACTGTAGCGTTAGTGTGTGTGCTGTAGCGTTAGTGTGTGTGTGCTGTAGCGTTAGCTGTGTGTACTGTAGCGTTAGTGTGTGTACTGTAGCGTTAGCTGTGTGTACTGTAGCGTTAGTGTGTGTGCTGTAGCGTTAGTGTGTGTGCTGTAGCGTTAGCTGTGTGTACTGTAGCGTTAGTGTGTGTGTGCTGTAGCGTTAGCTGTGTGTACTGTAGCGTTATTGTGTGTGTACTGTAGCGTTAGCTGTGTGTGTGCTGTAGCGTTAGTGTGTGTACTGTAGCGTTAGCTGTGTGTACTTAGCGTTAGTGTGTGTGCTGTAGCGTTAGCTGTGTGTACTGTAGCGTTAGCTGTGTGTACTGTAGCGTTAGTGTGTGTGCTGTAGCGTTAGTGTGTGTGTGCTGTAGCGTTAGTGTGTGTGCTGTAGCGTTAGTGTGTGTGCTGTAGCGTTAGTGTGTGTGTACTGTAGCGTTAGCTGTGTGTACTGTAGCGTTAGCTGTGTGTGCTGTAGCGTTAGTGTGTGTGCTGTAGCGTTAGCTGTGTGTACTGTAGCGTTAGCTGTGTGTACTGTAGCGTTAGTGTGTGTGCTGTAGCGTTAGCTGTGTGTGCTGTAGCGTTAGTGTGTGTGCTGTAGCGTTAGTGTGTGTGTACTGTTAGCTGTGTGTACTGTAGCGTTAGCTGTGTGTGCTGTAGCGTTAGTGTGTGTGCTGTAGCATTAGCTGTGTGTACTTAGCGTTAGTGTGTGTGTGCTGTAGCGTTAGCTGTGTGTACTGTAGCGTTAGTGTGTGTGCTGTAGCGTTAGTGTGTGTGCTGTAGCGTTAGCTGTGTGTGCTGTAGCGTTAGTGTGTGTGCTGTAGCGTTAGTGTGTGTGTGCTGTAGCGTTAGTGTGTGTGTGCTGTAGCGTTAGCTGTGTGTACTGTAGCATTAGTGTGTGTGTGCTGTAGCGTTAGTGTGTGTACTGTAGCGTTAGTGTGTGTGCTGTAGCGTTAGTGTGTGTACTGTAGCATTAGTGTGTGTGTGCTGTAGCGTTAGTGTGTGTACTGTAGCGTTAGTGTGTGTACTGTAGCATTAGTGTGTGTGTGCTGTAGCGTTAGTGTGTGTGCTGTAGCGTTAGTGTGTGTGCTGTAGCGTTAGCTGTGTCCTTACAGGACTTCAGTGCTGAATTAATAATAGTTGCCAGCAGAGCAGAAACGATGATGATGGTATCAAACCTGTGAAGATAACAGAGAACAGTTTAAGAACAAACTCACGACCGAGTTTCAGGAAAGAACCAACATGTCCAAACACACACACACACACACACACACACTCAAAAAAACACACAGACACACACTAAACATCCTCCGTCACTGAACAGCACAGTCCACCACCAAACTGCTCACCAGTTCCAGAACTGATGCCTGGCGAAAAAAGCGCGGGGCTCGAAGGTGTAGAGCTTCAGGAGGATCTCCAGCAGGTACAGTGTCAGGAACGCCCACTCAGCATTGGACACCAGGGGGTCCTCCTCGTCCAGACCGATGAAGACCGCATTCACCAGGATTATAGCGTCATACACATACACAAACACCCTGAAACACACACACACACAAACAGCCTGAAACACACACACACACACAAACAGCCTGAAACACACACAAACAGCCTGAAACACACACAAACAGCCTGAAACACACACACACACACACACACACACAAACACCCTGAAACACACACACACACAAACAGCCTGAAACACACACACACACACACAAACAGCCTGAAACACACACAAACAGCCTGAAACACACACACACACACAAACAGCCTGAAACACACACAAACAGCCTGAAACACACACACACAAACAGCCTGAAACACACACACACACACACAAACAGCCTGAAACACACACACACATAACAGCCTGAAACACACACACACATACACAAACACCCTGAAACACACACACACAAACAGCCTGAAACACACACACACACACACAGCCTGAAACACACACACACACAAACAGCCTGAAACACACACACACACAAACAGCCTGAAACACACACACACACACACACACACACACACACACAAAGCCTGAAACACACACAAACAGCCTGAAACACACACACACACACAAACAGCCTGAAACACACACAAACACACACACCCTGAAAAACACACACACACACACACAGCCTGAAAAACACACACACACACACAAACAGCCTGAAACACACACAAACAGCCTGAAACACACACAAACAGCCTGAAACACACACAAACACACACAACAGCCTGAAAACACACACACACACACACACAGCCTGAAAAACACACACACACACACACAAACAGCCTGAAACACACACAAACAGCCTGAAACACACACAAACACACACACCCTGAAAAACACACACACACACAAACAGCCTGAAACACACACAAACACACACAGCCTGAAAAACACACACACACACACAAACAGCCTGAAACACACACAAACAGCCTGAAACACACACAAACACACACAGCCTGAAACACACACACACACACACACCCTGAAAAACACACACACACACAAACAGCCTGAAACACACACACACACACACAGCCTGAAACACACACACACACACACAAAAAGCCTGAAACACACACAAACAGCCTGAAACACACACAAACACACACAGCCTGAAACACACACACACACACACACACACACACACACACACAAAAAGCCTGAAACACACACACACACAGCCTGAAACACACACACACACACACACACACACACACACACACACACACACAAAAAGCCTGAAACACACACAAACAGCCTGAAACACACACACACACAGCCTGAAACACAAACACACACCCTGAAACACACACACACAGTCTGAAACACACACACACACACCCTGAAACACACACACACACACACACAGTCTGAAACACACAAACACCCTGAAACACACACACACACACAAACACTCTGAAACACACACACACACACACACACACACCCTGAAACACACACACACACCCTGAAACACACACACACACAGCCTGAAACACACACACACAGCCTGAAACACACACACACACCCTGAAACACACACCAACACCCTGAAACACACACCAACACCCTGAAACACACACACACACACACCCTGAAACACACACACACACACACCCTGAAACACACACACCCTCACACACCCTGAAACACACACACACAGCCTGAAACACACACACCCTCACACACCCTGAAACACACACACACAGCCTGAAACACACAAACACACACACCCTGAAACACACACAAACAGCCTGAAACACACAAACACACACACCCTGAAACACACACACAAACAGCCTGAAACACACACACACCCTGAAACACACACACACCCTGAAACACACACACACACACACCCTGAAACACACACACACACACACACCCTGAAACACACACACCCTCACACACCCTGAAACACACACACACAGCCTGAAACACACAAACACACACACCCTGAAACACACACAAACAGCCTGAAACACACAAACACACACACCCTGAAACACACACACAAACAGCCTGAAACACACACACCCTGAAACACACACACACCCTGAAACACACACACCCTCACACACCCTGAAACACACACAAACAGCCTGAAACACACAAACACACACACTGAAACACACACAAACAGCCTGAAACACACACACCCTGAAACACACACACACCCTGAAACACACACACTGAAACACACACAAACAGCCTGAAACACACACACACACACACACACACACACACACACACCCTGAAACACACACACACACCCTGAAACACACACACACACACACACACACACACACACACACCCTGAAACACACACACACACCCTGAAACACACACACCCTGAAACACACACACTGAAACACACACAAACAGCCTGAAACACACACACACACACACACACCCTGAAACACACACACACACCCTGAAACACACACACACACCCTGAAACACACACACACACACACCCTGAAACACACACACACACACACACACACACCCTGAAACACACACACACACCCTGAAACACACACACACACACACACACACACCCTGAAACACACACACACCCTGAAACACACACCCTGAAACACACACACACACACACACCCTGAAACACACACAGACACACACACACCCTGAAACACACACACACACACACACCCTGAAACACACACACACACACACTGTGTTTGCTGTAGAAAGTGCAGTGACTGTGTTGGTTTTATTTGATGGTTTCCATGATGTTCCAGATGGATGCTAGAATGTTACTGGGTGGTTGCCATGGTATGTCAAGCAGTTAGCAGGTGGTTGCTAGGGTGTTCTCTATCATTGATGTACACTAGGAGTGCCCTAAAGAGGTGTACAATCTTCTGACCACAAAGTTCCGCTGTATTTCTTTGAAGCTACTGTGATCTACAGTGGGCATCTGGGTGCCGATGACTGACCACCTCAGATCTGTTTAGTATTTTTGGGGAAAATGGTGTTGTGTCCATTAGAGAGTGCAGAACTTTAGATTTGTCTCTTCATTAATTCTGAGATTAAAAGTGGGCGTGGCCTTAATTTATACCTTAAAACAAGTGCTGTGGAAAAAGGTGCAAATTTAAATCAGCCGTAACTTTGATGTAAGAAATTTCAAAGTGTTATTCTTTAATTTATGATGTGATTCAACAGAAGACAGAGATACATATTCAGGTGTGTTAAATCTTCCTCTCCTCATCCTCTCCGCGCGGCGTTACCTGTGCTGGACGATGCGGCGGACGAGCGTGCTGACCGTACAGTCGTACACAGCAGGTATCCACAGCTGCAGAGGGTGTGGGCGGGACTTCAGGGTGATCACCTGGATATTCAGCAGATCAGCCAACTGCACAAATGCCTGCTTCCCTACAGCACACAGTAAAACACAGTAAACTACAGTAAAACACAGAAAACTACAGTAAAACCACAGTAAACCACAGTAAACAACACAATAAAAACTACAGAAAACAGAATAAAACTACAATAAAACTACAGTAAACAGAAATTACTACTGCAGCAATACAATCCGCACAAGCACCGGCTTCCCTACAGCAGCACAGGAAACACACTAAAGCCACAGGAAACGCAGAGATTAGCCGCAGCAGGACTCCCAGCATGCCGCAGCAGGACTCCCAGCATGCTGCAGGGTCTACAGCACAGCACTTTTACCTCCGTCCACTATGAGCGCCGTCCCTGACTGAGTGTGATGGTGATCTGTGTTCAGGACTGACCGATATGTCCGGTGTTGTTGTGGTCCAGGACGCTCCACAGCAGCTCCCTGTGGGCGGAGCTGATGTTGGGCTGAACTCGCTTCACCAGCTCCGTCCAGTGGTTCTGACTGACCACCGGCTCCCTCCCAGCGCCCCCCACCGACTCCTGCAGCAGAGAGAACGCTCGACACAGCTTCTGCCTCTTAGCCTTGACCAGCTGCCGTACTTCCTCCTGCAGTTAGAGAGAGAGAGAGAGAGAGAGAGAGAGAGAGAGAGAGAGAGAGAGAGAGTCAAAGTAATAACATTACAGTAAATGTACACTCACTGGCCACTTTATTAGAAACACCCACCTTCTGCTTCCACTAACTGGGCACTTTATTAGAAACACCTACACCTGTTTTATTGTATCTGCTAAATTAATTATGAGTATTATTAAGCTAATAACAATGACGCTAATTAATTTGATGTTTTGCATCTCAGAAATGATTTACACTGTTTATACCTTCAGATATTTTTTGTAGTTATTGTAGACGACAGCCAGGAACACAGACATGAAGGTGTAGGTGTTGATGATGATGTACAGGATGAAGAAGATGGAGAAGAAGGAGCTGTAATTATATGCTGGCATCCTTCAACACAGACGAACAGCGTTAATCAGCATTACACTCATTAGCATATTATAACAAACAGAGTCAGAACAGGTGACCCCTCGAATCTGGAGGCAGCAGGTCAAAGCCATCGTGTAGGTTTAACACTCACATGACGTCAGGACTGTTGGCCGTGGTCACCAAAACGTAAAGGTCAAAAACGATCTCCAGATAGTTTGTAAAATATGGCGCCCCTTCAATAGTTGTAAGGTTCCTACAAGAGACAGAAGGTTCAGAATGCAAAGAAGAAAAACCTGAAGTGAAAGATTCTGAAGGTGATCAATAAAGTTTCATCACTCCAGAGAACGCAGCCCCACTGCTCCACCGCCCAGTGCTGGGGGGCTTTATACCCCTCTAACCCACACTGGGCATGAAGAAAATCCCTAAAATAACAATCCACTGAAAGGTTGTTCTGGGGCCTAATAAAGGTTCCACATCACTGCTTCAAAGAACCTGTTTAAGCAGCTGTGATTTAAGAGTGTGTTATCAGTGGAAGAACCTTGAAGAAGCGTCTGGATACTTTTGGACAGACAGTGTCCAGGCGAGTCTGGGGGGGAGGGGGTGGAGACGGAGTCTGTAGGACGTTTACCGTTTACCCAGCAGCTTCAGAGCCATGAGGGAGAACATCAGCACACTGAAGATAAACAGGCAGAAGACCACCAGGATCTGCGGCAGAGCATTGCGGATACTTCGGAACGCCCGGCGGAGCTGCACAGGCAGAGAGAGAGAACAGGGCTGACTAATCAGGGAGGAGGCCCCACCCATTCAGCCTACAGCAGTTTAGCCCCACCCATTCAGGCTACAGCAGTTTAGCCCCACCCATTCAGCTACAGCAGTTTAGCCCCACCATTCAGCTACAGCAGTTTAGCCCCACCATTCAGCTACAGCAGTTTAGCCCCACCCATTCAGCTACAGCAGTTTAGCCCCACCCATTCAGCCTACAGCAGTTTAGCCCCACCCATTCAGCCTACAGCAGTTTAGCCCCACCATTCGCCTACAGCAGTTTAGCCCCACCATTCAGCTACAGCAGTTTAGCTCCACCATTCAGCTACAGCAGTTTAGCCCCACCCATTCAGCCTACAGCAGTTTAGCCCCACCCATTCAGCTACAGCAGTTTAGCCCCACCCATTCAGCTACAGCAGTTTAGCCCCACCCATTCAGCTACAGCAGTTTAGCCCCACCCATTCAGCTACAGCAGTTTAGCCCCACCCATTCAGCCTACAGCAGTTTAGCCCCACCCATTCAGCTACAGCAGTTTAGCCCCACCATTCAGCTACAGCAGTTTAGCCCCACCATTCAGCTACAGCAGTTTAGCCCCACCATTCAGCTACAGCAGTTTAGCTCCACCATTCAGCTACAGCAGTTTAGCTCCACCCATTCAGCCTACAGCAGTTTAGCCCCACCATTCAGCCTACAGAATTTCAGAACCAAGCAAACATCCCAGAACAGTAAGTCCTTTAGCTCAGCCTCTTTTCTGGTTACCTGCCGTCCCTCTGTGACGTTGACCAGCAGCAGGGGCCGCAGAACTCTGGACCAGCGCACAGAAGAGTGACCACTCGCATACAGAGCTCCGTATATGACCATATCAATCAGACACAGCTGGAGAGACACAGAGGAAACACAACTACATCAATAACAGCAACTCTGTTAGATTATTAAACAGCTCCACACTCCTGAGGAACGGAGCCAAAGTTGGCTTCTTATTCACCAGCTTATTTAAATTTCCTGCTACATTCTGAAGGCTTAACAACAACCTGGGACACCACAGCTGCATTAGCTACATTAGCCTCGTAGCTCCAGTGTGAGAACTAAATAAGCAAACTTCAGACTCCAAACACGTCCTGGCTGACCGACTGTATCGGGGTTGGAGGGGGAAACTGATCATTTTGGTGAAGTATCACTTTAAGGAGTCTTTATACGACGAGAACTCAGTCAGAAACGAGTCGACAGCAGAAATCAGTGAGAAGTGAAGCTGAGAAACACAGAGACAGTCCGAGTCTGAAGACGGCACTGCGGGAGCTTCCTGTCCGCTCGGCAGCAGAAGTGCTGAGGTAGCTAAAGTGGGGAGTAAAGTTCACTCTGGAGCAGCGTGACTGATCACACACTTCCTCTCCACACTCACCCAGAACAGGACGCAGCGCCAGGAGAACAATCACCCAGAATCCTCAGCAGCTAAAGCACAGTTCAGCGAGTTTCTCTCTCCCTTTATTCCAGCTTCCATTCTGTTCAGGAGCCTCACTTTCAGCTCCTCAAAGAATCTGCAGACACACCTCCAAAGTTCAGTCTTAGAAGCTGGTTGATGATTTTCTGAAGTAATCAAACACATTCAGTGGTGTTGAGGTCTGGACTCTGGGGTGGTCAGTCCATCGTTCAGCTTCTTTGTTTGATGTGTCCGTCTCCTTTTCTCAGTGAGGTTCTTCTTGATCAGCTACACATCCTTTCAGACCCACAGCGCTGAGTCGTCTTCTCACAGTGGAAGGATGGACAGAAACACCTGTGGATGTTTTCAGATCTGATCAGCTTGATTTTCTCCTCTCTCTCAGAGATGAAAGCTTTAAGTGCTGTTTATCTGATGGGGGCAGTTTTGGGGTCGACCAGCTCTTCCAGGTGGTTGCTAGGAGACACATTTTCTCAGTTTTTCAACACCAGTTTTGGAAACTTCACTTCTTTGATGTTTCTCTGGAAATGGATCATCTTATATCTGATCTCCTCACAAACATCTGAAAAACCTGTAACTTGTGCTTGACTGGAAGCTCAATAAATGGAGGGGGGGGTCTCTGACTTTTGCACAGCTCTGTATAATTAAGCATATCTGGTGCTCCTGAGAAGATCAATCGATGTCCTGACCTCGAAAAAGGTGCAAGAGGGGTTAGTGAGGAATGCGGTTGTCATGGAGACGGAGGTTACCGTGATGATGATGATGATGCAGATGTTTTTAGGGTCCCTGAAGAACGTCCTGCGGGGGATGACTTTAGCGAAGTGCACCAACCGCACGGTGAACGCCAAGAGACACACCAGCTCCATCACTGATGTGGCCTGAAGAAAAACAAACAAACAGATAAACAAAATACATAAACAAAACAGCCAAATCGGGTTGAACTGAGAAACACAAACACTGACACTTAAGTCTGAGAAGAGTAGAGACCTCCAGACTAATAACAACACAGAGCGTCCAGCGTCTGACTGTAAAGCGCCTGATTGTAAAGTGTCTGATTGTGAAGCATCTGATTGTAAAGCATCTGATTGTAAAGCGTCTGATTGTAAAGCGTCTGACTGTAAAGCGTCTGACTGTAAAGCATCTGATTGTAAAGTGTCTGACTGTGAAGCATCTGATTGTGAAGCATCTGATTGTAAAGCGTCTGATTGTGAAGTGTCTGATTATAAAGCATCCGTGAGCACCGGACAGACACTGTATAAACAACAGTGATGATGATGATGATGATGATGATGATAATAAAACCACCTTTACTTCCCACTTCATATCAGCTGCTCTTCCTTATCCAAAATTATTTAACACCATTTTATAGTGAAACTCTTCACTTACACCTGGAAAATCACAACAAAGTGTCAGAATTTTGAAAAATGCTAAGTAAAGTTATGAGGAACAAAACAAAGAAGTAATACTGAAGATGTTTCTGGATCTCTGATCAGATTCAGAGTTAAAGCACTGAGCACGCTCAGGTCTTCATACTAAAACTTAAATCTGTTTCATTCTATCCATTGAAGCTCAGGGTCAGATTATTATTATTATTATTATTATTATTATCATTATTGTATGTATAAATTGGTATAGGAGGATTACAGACACGCTTGAGTATGTGTGCGTACTGGGGGTTTAATATAATAGAAAAGCAGTCATACAGTCATAATGGATGTACTAATTGTCACTAATTTATGCACTAATTGGAGCAGTAATTGATGCACAAAATGACACACTTAACTGATGTGGTATTTGTTGTACTAATTGATGCACTACTTGATACTTGATACTATTTTTCAGGTACTTGTTGCACTAACCGATGTTTTGTTGCACTAACCGATGTGTTTGTTGCACTAACCGATGTGTTTGTTGCACTAACCGATGTGTTTGTTGCACTAACCGATGCACAAATTTATCTTTTAATTTTGACAATAACTGATGCACTAAATGACACTGATTGATGCAGTGTTTGTACTAATTGACGCACTAATTAATGCACCGATGCACTGATTGACGCACTGACACAATGCACATCATATGTTTTATCTCTCTTAGAAACTCAAACCTGCAGCTCTCACTGGAGCTCCGACTGTTATTAATCAGCGTATGAATCAAACGGTGAGTAAACAGCGTTTAATCTGATTCACTGTGACTCTGCTGCCCGTTTGAAAGTGAGCTGGTGTGAAATGCACTGACCCACAGCGGCAGACTGACCACAGCCGGCTCCTCAAACAGCGCCAAACTCAGATCCACCAGGATGAAGATGTACACCAGCACATGGAGGAGACCGTGATTATACAGGAGATACAGCCTGCGCACACACACACACACACACACACACACACACATACACACCACACACACACACACACACAATCAGAGATTATACAGGAGATACAGCCTGCACACACACACACACACACACACACACACACACACACACACACACACACAATCAGAGATTATACAGGAGATACAGCCTGCACACACACACACACACACACACAATCAGAGATTATACAGGAGATACAGCCTGCACACACACACACACACACACACACACACACACACACACACAGATACAGTCTGTAACACGGTGAGTGATCAGAGAGGTGAAGAATCTGCTCCGCTCCAGCTGAGATCCGGTGCAGTGATTACAGAGCGCCCTCGTACCTGACCGCCTGAGGGGACGAGTCGAAGGGAATGTTCCTGTTATACTGAGCGTCCGACACGAACACAGCAGCCAGATTTAACTTCTGTCAACATAAACAACAAACACCACTTATTACAGGAGCACAGACAGACAGACAGACGACACAGACAGACTGACAGTTAAAAGACTGACAGACAGTTAGACAGACAGACAGTTAGCCTGACAGTTAGACAGACAGACAGTTAGCCTGACAGTTAGACAGACAGACAGACAGACAGTTAGACAGACAGTTAGACAGACAGACAGACAGACAGACAGACAGTTAGACAGACAGTTAGACAGACAGACAGTTAGCCTGACAGTTAGACAGACAATTAGACAGACGGACAGACAGACAGACAGTTAGCCTGACAGTTAGACAGACGGACAGACAGACAGACAGTTAGACATACAGTTAGACAGACAGACAGTTAGACATACCACTAGATAGACAGACATACAGTTAGACAGACGGACAGACAGACAGTTAGACATACAGTTAGACAGACAGACAGACAGACAGTTAGACATACCGCTAGATAGACAGACATACAGTTAGACAGACGGACAGACAGACAGTTAGACATACAGTTAGACAGACGGACAGACAGACAGTTAGACATACAGTTAGACAGACGGACAGTTAGATAGACAGACAGACAGTTAGACATAACGCTAGATAGACAGACATACAGTTAGACAGACAGTTAGACAGACAGATAGACGGACAGACAGATAGTTAGACAGACAGACAGACAGTTAGACATACAGATAGACGGACAGACAGAGTTTGACAAACAGACAGACAGTTAGACATACAGTTAGACGGACAGACAGACAGTTTGACAGACAGACATACAGTTAGACAGACAGACAGACAGTTAGACAGACAGACAGATAGTTAGACAGACAGACAGACAGTTAGACAGACAGACAGACAGACATATACAGCACGGTGCAGGTCTGTGCTGTGAGTAACTGATCTGTATGTTTATCTGAGCTGTAGCACTAATTTGTTTACAGTGAACACAAACATTATAATAAATACAGAATAATAAACACTGCGCTGTGATTGGTCTGTATGAGTGTTTACTGTAAACTCTCCTCGAGGACGACCAGCGTTTACAGCCACCATCCAACCCCTGCTTTATCTAATCAACACTGCATGATGATGGGTTTTAATAAATCATACATATTCATAACTCCCTGAACTCACAACACCTTCCTTATGTTGATCTATGTTTATTCTGAAGTCCTATAAAGTTTTAGGGCTTAATTTTGGACCAAAAACAGAAGAAAAGAGTCCAAAAACTTCTCAGCTGATGTTTTCGGAATTTTTCCGTTCCACCTTAAATGGTGCAGCTGTTACACTGTGGCGCCTGAAAATTCCAAAACAACAGCTTTGCTGATGGATGGTGGAAGTTCTAAGAAGTTCTACTGGAGTTCTAGAAGTTCTTCAGCACTGATGATCCGCTTACGTCTCTGCTGAGGTCTGAGCCTCCCTCAGCTCCATCCTCTGCTCCTCTCCTCTTCTTCTCCTCCACCTCAGACATGTTTCCCTCAGGTCCGCACTGCTCCTCCTGCCGAGGCTCCATTCCGCTCCTGCAGGAATCCTCCTCCTCAGCTCAGCTCCACCGCAGGAGAAAAGTTCTGAGACCCCCAGGCGCAGCCGATAGCGCAGTTTCCCTCGCCGTGTCGCGCGCAGGGCGTCAGAGAGTGGGCAGCAGTGCGCGGCGGGTCCGCAGAGTGTGCGGCATTTCTGTTTCTGCGCTCTTTCAGCTCCAGATGAGCGGCAGGATGAGCGTCATGTGACTGAGAGTAACGGAAGAGCCTGGATTCCTACCCGCATTCCCACAGGACACGCCCCCCGAGCGCTGATTGGCCGGTACTGTCTCTCCTACTGCGCTGTGATTGGTTGGCAGTAGAGGCGGCGAAGATGCAGATCCAGAAAAGTAAATATCCGCTCCAGGATTTTGTTCCAGCTGTAGGGACTCGTCCGCTGCTGGACTGACTGCACTGAGAAGCGCGGCAAGCTGGAACAAAATCCTGGAGAGGATTTTTATTTTCTGGACCGATCTCGCCTTCTGCTCTGTGATTGGTTAGAAGTGTTTAGCTTTCTGCTCTGTGATTGGTTAGAAGTGTTTAGCTTTCTGCTCTGTGATTGGTTAGAAGTGTTCAGCTTTCTACATTGTGATTGGTTAATGGTGTCTCACTTTCTGCACTGTGATTGGTTAGAAATGTTTAGCTTTCTACGCTGTGATTGGCTAGAAGTGTTCAGCTTTCTATGCTGTGCTTGGTTAGAAGTGTTTAGCTTTCTACGCTGTGATTGGTTAGAAGTGTTTAGCTTTCTACGCTGTGATTGGCTAGAAGTGTTCAGCTTTCTACGCTGTGATTGGTTAGAAGTGTTTAGCTTTCTACATTGTGATTGGCTAGAAGTGTTCAGCTTTCTACGCTGTGATTGGCTAGAAGTGTTTAGCTTTCTACGCTGTGATTGGCTAGAAGTGTTCAGCTTTCTACGCTGTGATTGGCTAGAAGTGTTTAGCTTTCTACGCTGTGATTGGCTAGAAGTGTTCAGCTTTCTACGCTGTGATTGGCTAGAAGTGTTTAGCTTTCTACACTGTAATTTTTTAGAAGTGTTTAGCTTTCTACACTGTGATTGATTAGAAGTGTTTAGCTTTCTACACTGTGATTGGCTAGAAGTGTTCAGCTTTCTATGCTGTGATTGGCTAGAAGTGTTCAGCTTTCTACGCTGTGATTGGCTAGAAGTGTTTAGCTTTCTACACTGTAATTTTTTAGAAGTGTTTAGCTTTTTACACTGTGGTTGATTAGAAGTGTTTAGCTTCCTACACTGTGATCGGTTAGAAGTGTTTAGCTTTCTACGCTGTGATTTGTTGATAGTGTCTCACTGTCTGCGCTGTGATTGGTTAACAGGGTCTCACTTTCTGCACTGTGATTGGGTAACAGGGTCTCACTTTCTGCACTGTGATTGGTTAACAGAGTCTCACTTTCTGCACTGTGATTGGTTAGCCGTGCCTTGTCTCTTACGCTGTGATTGGTTGTATGAACTACCAGCCAATCCTAGCGCAGGACATGAGACAGTACTAGCCAATCCCATTGAAAGGGTGGAACATTACAAGCCAATCACAGCAGAGGGGGTGGGGCTACAAGAAAGCAATAAAACAGAGACCGAAAAGTTCAGTTTATAAGTTTATTATAATTTTAAGCTGAAATGTGATCAGTGTGAAGTGTACCGACCTGGATTGGTGCTGATTTTAGATTCAGTGTGAAAAACTTCTCAGAAAAGTCTCAAATATTTACCAGATCATGAAAAAGTAACATTACAGAGGCGTGATGACAGATCTCTGTATCATTATTCTGCACCAAATCAGAAATTAATCAGGAAAAAAACACTTTAAATAAATAAACTTATCACACACATCTACAGTCAACAATCAGAGCGCATCACATTAACCTCTGATTATAAACTCCCTTTTAATTACGACTTTAATTAAGGCCACAGTCTCAGTCTGCTTCATAAAGCAATTACATTTCAGTCACCGGGGGGCGCTCAGCGTCAGAGTGGGCTTCATTAAGCTCCCGTTTCCCATCGTTGATCATAGCTGTTCAAATAAACATGATTACATATTTCAGAACAGCAGGAAGAACGAAACAGAAGACAGACGATTGTTTTCCACAGCAAGAGTCACCTGACACTCTCGAATCTGATTGGTCAAACGCGGGCAAACTCAGGAAGGCCACTCTGAGGTTTAGCTGTCAGGTAAATAATAAAGTCTCACCTGTTCAGGCACATCAGAACAAAGAAAGCACAGTAAAACATCAGTGTAATTACAGAACAACAGAAATAAAACACTTCTAAGATCATAACATCAACTTCATTTGGTATTTATAGCAACCAGAGGGCAAAGGTCAACCGCAGAGAGCCACTCAGGAGCTTCCAAAACTCCAAACTACTGGAGTCAGTGACCTCTGTTAATGAGGAACAGAGACTCGCTCACAGAAACACCGTCAGTGCGAGGAACAGAGGCTCTGTTTACGGTACTGGAGGAATACGATTCTTCAGAGAGGCGGATCTGATGTTCTCCAGTGTTCTGGTCATTTCCTCCACATGGTCATTGATTAATCTCAGTGGGAATGACCAGGGGGGTCTTTCACAAAGCAGGGGGGGGTTTAACAAAGCTGGATTTCTCAGTTTAGCCAGATAACTTAAGCCCAGAGATGAGGAACGTCCAGTAGAAACGACCCTCAGCTCTCTTCCTATCGGACAGTCTCGACTTTGGGCTTAAATTATCTGGCTAAAGTGAGAAATCCTGCTTTGTGAAACCCCCCCTGCTTTGTGAACCCCCCCCCCGGAACGGCTGAACGATCTGGGAAAACATCTAATTACAACTTTCCTGACTAATATTGCGACTGTGATTTAAACTGTGATTATTTTCTATAAATTGAAGTTCAGGTATGTTTGTTTTTTGGCCAATTTGACCAGAATATCCACCTTTTCTGTCTTAATGTGCTGGACAGATGTTGTGGTTGTGATGTCACAACACATGGGGATGTGGTTGCCTCTGACTGGTCTAACTCATCTACAGGCAGTTCACTAATTTAAAAATATTTCAGCTCCTGTGATTTGAGGACTGAACTCTCTAAAACTGCAATATTGATATAAAAATCTTTCAGCCCTCGCCAGAGGTCAGCCTGGCCTCCTCAACTGACCTCCTCCTAAACTAAGAAAAGAAAAATAAAGTCCACAAACTGAAAAAATCTAAAGGGGAATTCCTCTCATTCCTTAAAATTCCCGCATAATTCAGTGTGTGAGAAGAACCAGTGGTGGTGATAGGAACCAGGGGTCGCCATGACTACAACACAAATATAGACATTTTATTTACTATCCAGAACCACCAGTGAACCTACACGAGTCTTCTGAGTTTATATGGAATGTTGATGATGGAAAATAGTGGAAAATCTGAAATAATAAGTTTTCTTTGGGGACTATTTTGCCTCACAGCGCCCTGCATGTATCCCTCCACCATGAATGGAGTTTAAGTTCTCTAAACTATCATAAAACAGTGTCTCAGTCATCAGGCAGTGAATTCATAACCATTTCATGTAGGAACTTTCTGTGAGGAGCTTTTAGAGGGGGACGTCTGGTTCCTATCACCACCACTGTGAACAGTTCTGACTCGGTAAGATTATCTAGAATGGAGCGTTTCACACCAAACCACTCTGATTACATCTTAACCATTTAGTTAGGAGTGAATTTTGAAATGTAGTGGATTTTCCCTCTGAGAAGCGGAAAGTTGAAGCTACTGTGCTTTGGTTTCTAAATTAAAGCTCCTTTTGCTAGAAGTGAACAGGAAGTGCCTCAAACTGTGTGGAGCTGTTCCCTCCACTCTGTCCACATGTAAACATCTTCTGCCTGGTGTCCAGCAGGTGGCAGTAAAGGACAGAGCTACAGCTGCAGCGAACCAGCTGATATAATCACACTGCGGCCCCCTCGTGCCCCCCAGGACGAGGCACTTTACTGCTCATGGAGACAGGAGGAACGTTTTCTCTCAGAGTCCGACGTTCCAGGAGGTCAACCAGCCCAACACCTTCGTTATTTCACTCATCTGAGCATAAAAACAGTCGGAGATGAAGCACAAAAAAGACTGAAAGGACTAGAAAAGTGTAGAAAAACAGAACTAAACTGCTGCAGCCGAGACGCTTCGCTCTGCCACCTTAGAGTGAAGGTAGAAGGTACTACATCAAACCAATCAAACACATCATCATAACTACTGGTATTAATCTTCAGAAGCTCAGCCCTGACTCAGAAGCTCAGCCCTGACTCAGAAGCTCAGCCCTGACTCAGAAGCTCAGCCATTAAAACCCAAATTTAAAGGTCAGCTCATCCTGCTCTGTTAGTCAGGCTCCTCCTGGATTTTACATTCCTCTGTTTTTAAAATCACTAAATCATAAAAATGACTCAAAATGCTACTGTAAGCCCTTTGGTGAGTAAACTCAGGTGTGTGCAGGCAGTGGTCACTCTGCGGTCAGAGCAGTTTTGGGTGGGCGTGGTTAGGTCTGACGGAGGAGAACGCTCCGATGTGTGTGATGAGGTTCGGCTCCACGCTGTGCGCTCTCTCTCCCGGCGTGTTTCGGGCGAGCTGGTACAGAGCCATGTCTTTGGCATGGCCTTTGATGCACTTGACTCTCTCCAGCAGGGCGGCGACGCGGGCGGAGGCATTGCCGGGATACAGCATGGCGGGTGTGCAGCATTCCGTTGCCGGGGAAACAGCATAAAGCTGTGGTGAGATGCGGCGGAGCTCCAGAAAGTAGTGGCGCCCCCCGAGCTCCACTACGGCCATCACGTACAGCACCAGGAACAGCAGGACCACAGGGGACAGGGACGGTGCCCGGGGGCCACACAGGGCCACGCAAAACAGCAACAATGCTGTGGCCCCCACCAAACCAAGCCCCACCCACTCCAGGATGCGGTACGGCTCTGGGTTCCAGTAGCGCTGCAGACGCTCCGGGTGGTACAGCTTCACGTACAGCGAGTTCTGCGCGAATCGGCGGGTCCGCAAGTCCCGAATTACAGCGAAGAAGTCCATCCTGGGCAGAGCGTCGTCTTCCAGCACCACCACGTTCCTGGGATTCAGCAACTCCCAGCCTTTCCGCAGGCAGTAGACGTAATCCCTCTTTTCCTTTTCGAACACGTTCAAGTACTCACTGACCTTTTTCTCCTCTAGAGAGCGCCGGACCACCCGGAAGCGTTTCTCCAGCAGCGAGGCGTCCTCGGTTCCGGAGGGGCTGCTTTCAACGTCGCACACCAGCACCTCGGCACACGGCTCAGCGTCCCCGCACGTCCGCAGCAGGGCATCAAGCCGATGCATCACCTGGAGCAGATAATGGAAGTCCCGCCCATCTGTCCTCTGGGCCGTAACCACGGTCACCAAGAGCTCTGGTCTCTTAGAGAGTGGACTGGCCGGGGACTCGGCGGCGGCGAGGTTCTGCCAGTAGCGCAGCGCCTGCTGTCCTCGCTCGTAGCTCTCCTGCAGAGCCACGTCGCTCATCCAGTCCAGATACACAGATCTGATGAAGTAGTAGGAGTAGAGGCAGCGATGGCAGCACAGCGGCAGAACCAGCCCGAACGTCAGAACGCACAGAACCGCCCCCTGAGCCACGCTGCTCGACCACCGGGCGTGCTGGAGCACAGCCGCCTTCCATCGAGGCATCTGTGCCGTGCAGGAGTCTCACAGCTATAATCTATAATCTAATCAAGAATCCCCAGCATGTTCCAGAGCAGCCATCCTGAATCATTCAGGGGTTTCCCCTCAGTCACGGCCCCCCACAGCTGCAGGTCCACTAACAGGAGTCACTCCGTCAAATGACAACAGCTTCCCACACGGTCAGCACCTGCAACCCAACACCACACAGACTATCAGCCAGTGATTCATAGTCGACACTGAATAATTCACAGTGGATATTAAATAATTCATACTAGACAGTGAATAATTAATAGTAGATATTAACTTATTAACAGTGGACACTGAATAATTCATTGTAGGTACTAAATAATTCATAGTAAATACTAAATAATTCATAGTAGATACTGAATAATTCATAGTACATGCTGAATAATTCATAGTAGATACTGAATAATTCATAGTAGATACTGAATAATTCATAGTAGATACTGAATAATTCGTAGTGTTTACTAAATAATTAATAGTAAATACTGAATAATTAATAGTAGATACTGAATAATTCAGTGTTTACTAAATAATTAATAGTAGATACTGAATAATTCATAGTAGATACTGAATAATTCATAGTAGATACTGAATGATTCGTAGTGTTTACTAAATAATTAATAGTAAATACTGAATAATTAATAGTAGATACTGAATAATTCAGTGTTTACTAAATAATTAATCGTGGATACTGAATAATTCATAGTAGATACTGAATAATTCATAGTGGATACTGAATAATTCATAGTAGATACTGAATAATTCATAGTAGATACTGAATAATTCATAGTAGATACTGAATAATTCGTAGTGAAGACTACATAATAATAAATCTTTAGATAAATAACTGAATAATGGGTTCAAGGGATTAATAATACCTTTATACCTGTATAGTGAATAATAAAACGCATAAAGTACTGTCTTATACGAATATGTACTCAGCCCAGTCCAGCGTGTCCAGCTCCGGCGCTGTAGTCCAGGGCCCGTATCAGAGCTGAAGTGCTGATGTAAGACCTGTTTTTGTTATTAAGGTGAATAAGAGAGGAACCTGAACCTGGATCAGATCAGCACTCCTCCTCTGAGAGGTGGGTGAACCCGGGCCCAGGTGTGTCTCCTGCGAAAGACTAATGATGAGGGAGTCCTTGTGGAGCTGAACAGCTGTGACAGAGCAGGTAAACACGTCTGAGGTGGAGCTGCGGTACTGATTTGGATCCAGGCTATGACAACACAGTGTTTACAGGTGACTGATCTGAATGTGAACTCTAGAGAACAGTGACTAAAGCTGAAGAACCTTTAGAACCAAAACGGGAGAATTTGAAGTTGGCTGCTTATTCGAATTCTCCGCTCCACCTTAAATGGTGCAGCAGTGACTGTAACGGTGCCTGAGGCGCCAGAATGTAACCGCAGCACCATTTAAGGTGGAGCAGAGAATTCGAAAAAGCAGCCAACTTCAGTGACGTTACTCACGTTAACGCGCCGTCAGCGCTGGCTGAAACTAACCCGGGGAGAACACAGAACCCCTGCAGAACCACAGGAGAACCCTTGCAGCCGGGAACAGCAGGAACATCTCCTGTATCCCTCAGAGAAACTCACCGGATCCGCTCTGCTCCAGCGCCGCCATGGATGCCTTCCTCCACATAACGCACAATAAGCCCCGCCTCTTGACCGTGGCTGTGTAGCGGAACCGCCCACCGGCGGACAGCAGATGGCGCTTCAGGACAGGAAAAATAAAATAAAAGTCTTCTGTTTGCGCGTTATGAATATGTAAAAAACCGTTTTGCATGTGGAGCAATATTTTACATTTATATCTCTATCAGCGTTCGCGTCACCTGACCCCCCCTCGTTTTTTTATTTGTGTTATTACTTTATATGACTTTAATTTAGTAGTTATAGTTTCTTCTACGGCTGTTAAGCTTAATCACGTGTCTGTGAAGCACTTCGAGCTGCCACTAGGGTTAAAATGGCTCTGCAAATAAGTAAATATACTATTATTGTTGTTCACTGTGGGTTATGTCGTTTGTTTTGCAGGGCAAACTATTGATTTATTGATTATAAATCAGAAAAACGTGTACTGCATGGGCTGTTTTGTGAGTGTGATGATCCAGAATCCTCAAACTGACCAGATGATGAGGAAGAGTTAATAAACTCCAGACTGGCTGGTCAGTCCTGAGGGTGCTCCTACTAATATGAGTATAAATTATATAATAATATGAATAATATTCAGTGATTAGTTACATTTTAGATTGTAGAAGCCAGGCGGACGGGTCAGAGTGAGTCTGGATACTATGGAGAACGTGGTTCTTAGGCTCTGCTGAGATGTGGAACCCTCAGCGATGTGTACAGTATCCCAAGCCCGGAGAAATAATGACTACAAGTTCCTGAAACTACAGAAGTCCAGAGAGGCCATGGGGTAGTTATTATTTTCTGGATTATTATCTCGGGATCATGACTTAACTGTCTTGTGATGTCAAGATAACAAAAGTTGTTACCTTAAGATCACAACACAATTAAGTCATGATCTCAAGATAATAATCCAGAAAATAAAAATTACCTCATGGCCTCTCTGGACTTCCATATGAAACTAATCCATCCATGAACTTTTATTTTCACCTGGAAATACACTGAGGGTGACCCTCGTTTTCAATGCAGGGAATTGAAAATCAGTTTAAACTAAAATGAACAGAAATACATAAACAAATAACAAAAATGGAAGGAGAAAGATTTAAATGAACAATAAGAATTAATAAATAAGCATTAATAAAAGTAAAAGATTTAATAGTTAAAATCTTCATAAAAGGATAAATTTGGCAACTAAATTGGAAGCAATCCAATAAAAGGACTGTAAAAATAATAGAGGAAAATAAAATAAAGTACAGGAAAAGAATCAAGATCCAATAAAAAGAAATTATAAGGTTCAAATCATCATCATCTTCTTAGCTGTTTATCCTCCTGGGCCCCAGGGGGTGCCAGAGTCTATCCCAGCAGTCATCGGGTGCCCTGGACAGGCTGCCAGTCCATCACAGGGCAGATACACTCACACCTAGGGGCAGTTTAGCATCTCCAGTCTGCCTGACTGCATGTGTTTGGACTGAAACCCACACAGAGAGGACTCTGGACGCCCGGCCGGGGATTATTAGCTTATTAATTAGCCGTCTATTAGCTTATTAATTAGGCGTCTGTTAGCTTATTAATTAGGTGTCTGTTAGCTTATTAATTAGGCATGTGTTAGCCTATTAATTATGCATCTGTTAGCTTATTAATTAGGCATCTGTTAGCTTATTAATTAGCCATCTATTAGCTTATTAATTAGGCATCTATTAGCTTATTAATTAGGCGTCTATTAGCTTATTAATTAGGCATCTGTTAGCTTATTAATTAGGCGTCTATTAGCTTATTAATTAGGCGTCTATTGGCCTCTAGTTTTAACAGAACTGGCGGTCTCTGTAATTGAACTGTTCGGAGACGAATTAAATCACAGTAATTTTACTTTTACTTGACTTTTTCTAAATAAAGTACTGAAAATGTTCTTCTCTCAGCTCAACATCCAACCTGAGGAGGCGATCAGCCAGCTGACCAGTCTTAGCTAAATGACTGTGTTTATTTACTGTCTTTGTTTTATATTTATGTTTTACCATTTTAGATTAACGAGTTTGATAGCTAAAAGCCTAAAGCTGCTGTTTGTGCCTGTTAGCCAGCTCAGTTAGCTAATGAAAGCTAATGCTTAAGGTACCTAATAAACCTCAGTGAAATACTAGTGAAAATTCTTAAAATAGAAAGCCCAGTTTTATCAACCCTGCACTGGTTACCAGTTAAATTTCGCATTGATTATAAAATTCTTATAAAGCCCTAAACGGACTCGCCCCTCAGTACCTGAGTGACCTTCTCTCTCACTATGAACCATCACGCCTACTTAGATCACAAGGTGCTGCTCACTATTAGTACCTAGAATTAATAAAGCTACATCAGGGGGCGGAGCTTCTCATACAAAGCCCCCCAGCTTTGGAATAATCTTCCAGTCAGTGTTCGGGACTCAGACTCAGCCTCAGTGTTTAAGTCTAGGCTAAAACCCACTTGTTTAGTGGAGCCTTTGGTGATTAGTTTTCCCTGTTAGATAAAAGGTGCAGATCTGGGGTTCATGGTCATGGAGTGTTATGGTAAACTGGGAGTGTTGGTGCTGTCGTCCCGCTGCTCACGCACTCACTCAGGTTTGCTGACGGTGGAGTGGAGGGGCGCCGACATCTCAGGGAGCCTCCTGACTCTGTTACCTTTCTGGTTTCTCCCTCTTAGTGAGGCTGTAATATCTAGACCTGCCGGAGTCTCTGCTGCTCTGTTAACCCTGTAATCTGTGGTCAGTCTCTCTGTACAGAACTGACCCTCTGTGTGTTTCCTCTCTGTGCTGAGTTGAACAGCTGCCCATCCTGTGCGTCTCAGGCTGTTGCTTCTTCTGCCTCGATCAGGTGCCACTGCACTGTTTTGTACTATAATACTTTATACTAAAGCTGTTTACGATCCGGTGTGGACCAGAGGAGGACGGGTTCCCCTTCTGAGTCTTGGTTCCTCTCAGTGTTTCTTCCTCTTACTCTTAGGGAGTTTTTTCCTAAGCAAACCTTTGTGTGCAACACCTCAAACTGTAGGGGGCAGCACTGCACCTCCCTCAGTCCACCATAAGAGTGAAAGTGAAATAAAGAGGAGGAGGAGAAGAGGAGGAGGAAGAGGAGATAAGAAGAAAGAAAAGAAGAAAAAGAGGAGAAAACACAAAAAGGAAGAGGAAGAGAATGAGAGGGATACTGTAGTGTGTGTGTGTGTGTGTGTGTGTGTGTGTGTGAGTGTGTGTGAGTGTGTGTGTGTGTGTGTGTGTGTGATAGAGAACAGGCTCCTCTGGATTACAGGGCAGGTCAGAGTCCTCAGGCTGTTATCTAGAACTGTGTGTTACTGACGGAGCCGAATTTAAATTTACCCACAGACTCGTTATCAGAGTCCAGAATTAGCTGGACAGAAGCTCCACCTCACGCTCCAGCTCCTAACGCTCCTAACGAGTCCAGCTATTAACACTGCACACGATTTCATTAAAGGGCCAGTAGCACAGAAAACTGAACCCTCACTGCTTTTAATGAAGCACGTTTCATTTGGCCGCCCAAATAAATACAGTACAGACAGAATACAGTACAGACAGAATACAGTACGGACCGAATACGGTACAGATGGAATACAGTACAGACAGAATACAGTACGGACCGAATACGGTACAGACAGAATACAGTACAGACAGAATACAGTACGGACCGAATACGGTACAGATGGAATACAGTACAGACAGAATACGGTACAGACCGAATACGGTACAGATGGAATACAGTACGGACAGAATACAGTACAGACAGAATATGGTACGGACAGAATACAGTACGGACAGAATACAGTACAGACAGAATACAGTACGGACAGAATACAGTACAGACAGAATACAGTACAGACGGAATACAGTACGGACAGAATACAGTACGGACGGAATACAGTACAGACGGAATACGGTACAGACAGAATACGGTACAGACAGAATGCGGTACAGACGGAATATACGCAGCCAATCAGAACAAAGCTGACATATTTTACAGACACAGTAATTTTAATGTTTGACTGTAAGAGGTAAGGAGAGGCTGTAAACTGATCCTGTACTGTGACTGTTTCTAGTACATAAACCCTCATATTACACAAATACAGTGTAAAAGAAATGAATGGGGCTCTGTAAGTTCCCCTCAGGAGCTGTTCCTCAGTATAAAGGAGGACAGAACGGTTTTCATTACTGTAATATTGACCGTTCTCTGATGATGAACGTGCAGGTGTTCCTACCTGGAGGAGGTTCTTTGTTAGATATAAGTAATCCAGTTTTTCTTCCAAAGTGCTGCAGCTCTCTGTCCGGGTATAACTCCAAAACTCCTCTCCGTCTGTTTCTGCCTCTTTCCCTTTTTCCTCCTCCACAGTGACGTTGTGAGGGAATTGATGACAGACACTGAATAATTCATAACACATACTGAATAATTCATAGTAGACACTGAATGATTCATAGTGGATAGTGTATGATTCACAGTGGATACTGAATGATTCATAGTAGACACTGAATGATTCATAGTGGATAGTGAATGATTTATAGTGGATACTGAATGATTTATAGTCGATACTGAATGATTCATAGTGGATACTGCATGATTCATAGTGGATACTAAATGATTCATAGTAGACACTGAATGATTCATAGTGGATACTGCATGATTCATAGTGGATACTAAATGATTCATAGTAGACACAAAATGATTCATAGTGGATACTGAATGTTTCATAGTAGATACTCAATGATTCATCATGAATACCAAATGATTCGCAGAAGACAATGAACATAATGGATGATGAATGATTCATAGTAGACTCTAATGATTCATAGTGGATACTAAATGATTTATAGTAGTTACTGAATGATTCATAGTGGGTATTAAATAATTCATAGTCAATACTTAATGATTCATAGTAGACAGAATAATTCAAATTGGAAACTGAAGGATTCATAGTAGACACTGAATGCTTCATAGTGGACACTGAATGATTCATAGTGGTTACTGAATGATTCATAGTGGATGCTGATTCATCATGAATGATTCACAGAAGACAATGAACATTTCATAGTGGATACTGAGTGATTCGTTGTGGATGATGAATGATTCATAGTAGACTCTGAATTATTTACAGTAGATACTGAATAATTCATAGCGGGGCACTGAATGCTTCATAGTGCACACTGAATGATTCATAGTAGATACTGAATAATTCATAAGTAAGTTTCATTCATAAAGCACCCTTAAAACAACTTGCATTGAGCACAGTGCTGTACATCAAATCAGCTCACAGATCACAAAATAGATAAGATGATGAGTAAAGAAGATATAAAACCCAGACTTAAACATGTATCATCACCTCAGCCCCTCACTATTCAAACGCGAGGGTGTATAAATATGTTTTAGTCTTGACTTAAAAACAGTGATTGAAGGTGGTGAACAGTGGGAGGTAGAACGTTCCAGAGTCTCGGAGCGTAGACTGCAAACGCACGATCACCTTTAAGCTCCAGACAAGCTCACACAGGAACAGCCAGCAGGTTCTGCGAGGATGATCTCAAAGCTCGCTGTGTGGCAGAGGGAGTGACTCGCTGCCGACACGTGAGGGGCTTGTGGTAGACACTTTATAGTTCATACTGCATAATGAATGATTCATAAGCTGCATTCTGTTTCACAGGGCATGTGGAAGCACGTACTGTCAAAGACGAGACCTGCAATGACTGATGGGTAAATGATAAACTGATGGAATGATCCATAGTGGATACTGAGTGATTCAGCATGACTCTGAATCGGTTCAATTCTGTTGAATCATTGAGGGGAAAGCCCCTCATCCACTTAGCCCCGCCCATGTGGCAACAGCAACGGTGGGCCGTGCAGAAAGACCCGACGGCCAGGTGAACAGTCAGCTCTGAACAGTCACACAGGCGGCCAGGAGAGTCCACTGTGAATGATCTGTAGAGTTTGGGAAATGTGGAGAATGTCCGGCAGGGGTCAGCAGGGTCCACTGTCTGTGGTCTGTATAAAGGGGGGATAAGCCCCCTCCCTCTCACCCAAACCAATCAGCAGCTTTTCAGGGATATTTTTACAGGATGACTCTGCTTCAGGACCGTCTGCCATCACTCGTCCCGCAGACAGTCTGTTACTGACCGTTCATACGGCCATCACACTGTAGACCCCTATTACAGAACAGACCCCTATTATAGAACAGACCCCTATTACAGTACAGACCCCTATTATAGAACAAACCCCTATTACAGTACAGACCCCTATTACAGAACAGACCCCTATTACAGAACAGACCTCTATTACAGAACAGACCCCTATTACAGTACAGACCCCTATTACAGTACAGACCTCTATTACAGTACAGACCCCTATTACAGAACAGACCCCTATTACAGTACAGACCCCTATTACAGAACAGACCCCTATTATAGAACAGACCCCTATTACAGTAC